AAAAGGATAAACCAAACTGGCGGGCCCCTTTCTTAGGGATTTCTCACACATTTTTATCTGTCAGTCCCTTAAAAACTCCAGGACAGAGGGCCTGGCATCTTCTTTAACCCAACAACTCTTACTGTGCTTTGGGCTGTGTGAGCACCAAAGGTCTTTTCTCAGCCACAGCCCCCAGGTGTGGGGGGGGGCACCGAGTACTCACCCTAGAGGGAAGGGTGGGCAGTGAGCACCACACACCGACCAGCCCCTCCACTGTCCTGCTCACAGCCAGTGCTAATAAGTGGTGCTTGATAAGTAGGCTTGTGTGGAAGGACGTCAGTCACTGGATCAAATGAATTGGCAAATGGATTCCGGGCATGGGAAGCTCTGCCTGCCTGAGGACCATCCGTGTGCCTCACTGGTGACCCTGGATGATCATTGCAGAGCAAAGGGCCTTTCTGCCAACCTGAAGGTGCTTTCGAGAAGCAGATGGGTGTCCCATGCAGGGATCATCAGACTTGGAGACCCCCTTCTGCTCCAGGGGCAAAGTCACATGCCCAAGGTCCCCGAGCTGGTGCTGGCCCCAACTCAGACCGCACAGACCCAAGCCAACAGACCGCCTGCGCTCCATAAGCACTGATGGGGGTGGGGGGAGCACTCCGGCTTGTTGCCTTGGGGGCTGAAAGCCGCCACATGTTTCCCAGTAAAGTCCTCAGCCTTTGTTCTCTCTCCCACTTCCCTTTCCTGCTCTCTCTACTCACATCACTGAGCTGAGAGGATGTCAGAAGCAGGAAGCCCCTAAACCTGGAGATCCTCTCCCCCAACCCCCCTGCACCCCTTGACTTCTCCATGCTGCCTCCTGGGGACCTTCACAGAGCCTCAGGGAGCTGGTGCTCACCTGGGGCATGTCTGGGGGGCCCCTCCCAGGCCGGGCTGGCTGCCCAATGGGCATCTGAGTCCACTCCCACTCACCCCCCATGATTCTGCAAACAAATGGGGTATTGGTGCAAGAATCAGCTTCCACCCCCAGCCTGACCCTTAAGAGCTAAGTGAAGTGGGGCAAGTCACTCCAGTTTGGGGGGCCTCAGTTTCCACCCCCATAAAATGGGGAGCAGAGAGCTCAGACTGGACCTCCAAGGTCTCAGCCAGTCCTCCACCCAGCCTGTGATGCCATCGCTCAGTCACCAGCTGCTTTCTTTCAGCCGTGATGCGCTCTGCCTTGCCCAGATCATGTTACGAAGCTTTTTCTGAGCCATAAATTCTTCCACCAAAGCCAAAAGGAATGTGGCAGCCCAGAGACCCAGGCGGCCCTTGACCACCCACTTTCCAAACACCCCAAGCCTGCATTGGGCCAAGCTATTCTCTCATCTACGGGTTTCAAACGATTCCATTCCTGAGAGAACTAAGAACCGTACCAACAGGGGATGGTCTTACTAAAAGATTTGTTTTGTTAGAATTCTGCATGCTGTGATTTCAGCAGGCCCCTGACTCACAGGAATGGGGTGCTAAGGTAGAATGTGGGGTGCTGTGCTGTTACCTTGCTGCAAACTGTTTGGCCCCCGCATGACTTTAGCAGTCAGGAGGTCCTTATGGTTTTAAGACCCTTGAGACCTGAGAACTCAGGATTCTCTGCATTGAACACAGCCCAGGAAAGGATGGAGCAAGGTCTGAGCACAACTCAGCAGCTGTCTAGGCCAAGCCCTTCATTTTAGATGTAAGGGGACTAAGGTCTAGGGAGATGAAGTGATGGCCAAGGTCACGGCGCAGAAGAGACATGATTCGAACCCAGGGCTTGTGACCCCTGCTCTTCCCACAGGGCCAGGTTGCCTTCCAAGAAGGGCTTCTCGTGTGGCATAATGGGCTGCTCCCTAGATGGTGGGCCCCTCCCAGGGGTCTTTGGGTGAAGGCTGGCTAACCACCACTTGGGGAGCCTTGTTCAGGTAAAGGCTGGTGTACAGCCCTCAGCTCTTGAGAAGCGCACCACCCTCAGCTCAAGCTGCTCCCTGGACACCCGGAATGGGAATGCCTCCCTCCCCATCTTGACCTCTGACTCTGCCCTCCAGGCCGCACCTCTGCCTCAGAAGCTGCTTGTGGCACACCTCTGAGGCATCGTAACTCACTGCTGGGACTCACAGGAGATTCTAAGCTCCATGAGGGCAGGAGCTGTGCGGTACCTTTCACTTCCCCCATGCTGCCTAACACAGCCAACTGCACCCAGGTTTGGCAGCCCTCATGTGAGTGACCCTGGGAATCGGGAGCCAGAGTCCAAGATCTAGAACCAGAAAGAAGCTGAGGATATGCCTGGACCACCTCCCCTTAGGCTACAGAGGAGAAAACTGAGGCCCAGGGTGAGGAAATGACTTGGCCAAGTCCACACAAGTAAGTGGCAGAGCCAGGATTCAGTCCTTGGACCTCAGACTCAGAGGGTAAGGGTTGATTCCCCTTTGTATCCACAGTACAAAGTGCCCAAAGTAGGCACTTAATGAGAACATATTGTCTACTCATTTACCAAGGACTGGTGCTGAGACCAGGGGAGGGCAGTGACCTGCCCAAGGCCACACAGGCAGTGGTGAGCATGAGAGACAGATTTTGAACCCAGGTCTGGGACTCCACCAGGGAGGCAGCACATGGTATGGAGGCTGGTGTTATGCCTCTTTCCCAGAATCCCACTGTCATGGGAATTGGGGCTCCTGCCCCTGCCTCATCCCTGCCAGCCATGGGCTCTCTTCAGGATGCCAGTGGACTCAGTGGGTCCAGATACCTCCAGGAAAGGATTCCTCACTCAGAGACTTATTGAACTCTTCTGAATGAGGCTGTTAATACCAGGTCACTTGGTGCTCTGAGCAGAACAGTGGAGGACCCTGGTCATCCTGACTCAGTGTCTGGCCCAGCGCTCTCAGGCTCTGGGATGCTGTCCTCCATCATTCCTCCCTCCACTGAGACTGGGATTCTCTTGGTCTCCATGAGGCATTAGGGCCAAAGGTACCCATCCCCTGGTGCCCAGCTCTTTGCCCTTCCCGCCAGGCCTGAAGCCATCCTATCCTGGCTAGACCTGCCAGACCTTGGAAGCACCTCAGCTCCACCATGAGGCTCTGGGGCTGGGGGAGGGGGAGACTTTGACTGTCCCTGTCAGGGTTATGTAAACACCTGACAAAAATCAATCCCTAACAGTTCAAGCCTTTGGGACTCTTTGGGATCCCTGCTGCCCACTCTTCCAGGCTTGCCTAATAGCTTTCCTGGTAGTTTGGGGGCCCCACCAAGAGAAACACCCCCCAAGGCCATAAATGGAAGAGACTGGGGGGAGAGACCTGTCCTTGGGGTAAGCCACTAGTCAGCTTGGAGGGCAGGCTTCTGATTGGTGAGAAGAAAGCTGGGGCTGGGGGAAGGGTACAGAACCTTCCCCATGACCCATTTCTCCAGTGGCCAGGCCCAGCAGCCCATGCCAGAGGGTGGAAGCCACTGCCTACTGCCAGGAACCTAGCAAGGCCACCTCAGCTGCCCAGTCTACACAGCTCAGTTTTTAAAAATAGGTGATAGAGCTGAAAGGGACCTTAGAGACCAAGGAGTCCACCCCCTCGTTTTACAGATGAGGAAACCGAGGCCAGAAAGGGGAAGGCACAAGGCTGTACAAAGAGAACCACAGCATTTCTGAAATAGGAAGTGTTTTAATGATCATCTAATCTCACCCCTATCTGAACAATAACCTTCTAATGGATGGCTGACCATACATCTCTGCCTAAATACCTCTAGGGAGGCAAAGAATGGAGGCTGTGCCCAGTCCTGGCTCTGGAGATGGCCAAATCATCTCAAGGAGTACCAGAGTCTGGGCACTGCCTGGGCTTCAAACTAGGCTGGGGGTGTCTCTTGGACAGACAGAATCTCTCCCAAATCCTCCCTTTTTTCACAAGCCTTCTCCCAACCCCAGGTGCCGGAGGCACTGCTGCCCCATTTTACAGATAAGGAACATGAGAGTCTGGACAATGAAATCTCACCCATACCCAATGGCCACAGAATCAGGGGAGGAAGCCAGAGCCTCAGACTGAGTCCAGAGTAGCCCCCTTCCTGCTCTCTGAGACCTGGACTCCTCCAATAAGGAAGGAGATTCTGCCAGGATGCCCATGGGGAAGGGAAAGAAAACATGCTCTGTGCCCCAGGCTCTTGAGCCCTTCTCCAGGAATGGTTCTGGTCTCTGGCTTTAATTGTTTGAAAAACAATGCTAGATTGTAGATTAGAATTGGGGACGCTGCAGGCAGGACCCCTGGAGAGGGACTGCTCCCTCCCTAATACGGTTTTACAGCAGAGAAAAGGGAGGGGAGAAGGGGCCCCAACGATGTCTCTGCTGGCCAAGGTACAGTCACCTTCAGCGAAAGGAACCCCCCCAACTCAACTCCCAAGTCTTCTGTCACTCTTCCCCAGTAGCCTGGACATTCGGATAGGCTGGCAAGGAGGTGAAGGAAGAAAATTTGGAAGATGGGGTGGGGGTGGGGGTGGGGGCTGAAGTCACCTGGTTCAACTCCCTTTTTGACAGAGGAGGGAGCAGGGAAGCAATATGCCCGAGGTCATACAGGTGAGAAGAACATGCCTCTCTCAAAGAAAGCTTTGAGAAAAGTGGAGAAAGTGAGCCAGTGAGGGGTGAGAGGGGATGGCGGGCAATGTGGGAGCCGGGAGGGGCAGCGGAGGCCGGAAGCCCTTGAGCACCTGGGGTGCAGGGGGTGGCGGTGGCGGTGGCTTGTGCCAATGGCCCGGGATTCCTAAGGGGAAAAGCAGGAAGCCAGAACACAGCAGGACGGACACTGGTAGGAGCCAGGGATCGGAGCTTGGAGAAGAGCGATCAGAAGCTCCCGAACTTCAGAGTGGCAGAAAGAAGGGGAGCGATGGAAGCCCGCAGAGGGGCCCTGAGTGGAAGGAGGGGGAGACTAAGAGGCTGAGCTCCCCGACACCGCCTCCTGCCCGGGTCCCCCTCCGCCCGACTGCGCACCCCCAATCTGGCCCCCAGCCCCCAGCCGGCACCCGCTCCTTACCTCTGGCGGCCAGCAGCGTGACGAGGGCCAGCAGCGCCGGCAGCCGCGGCATCCAGGCCGGCTCCATGGGGCCCGGGACACTGGGAAGGGGATGAGCCCCCTGCGCGCACAAAGGGCTGGCTGCCCGGGGACAGCGGCTTCTCCTCCTCCTACGGCCGGCGGCCCGGCTCCCGCTCCTTCCTTCTGGACGTGGGGGGCAGCGGAGGGCCAGCGAGAGGGACCGAGTGGGAGTGTGCGGGTCACTCGTGTGTGTGCGTGAGTGGGTCACTTGTGTGTGGGAGTGTGAGGACGTGGGGGTGCCCAGCGGTCCCCAGGCCGCCCGCCTGCCTCAGTCCTGAAGAGCGACTTGCCCCGCTCCTTTTAATTATCCCGCCTGGAAGCACTCTGGCCAGAGCCCAGCCTGGGCTGGGGGGAGCCGGAGTTGGGGAGGGGGAGGGCAGGGCAGGCGGGGGGCGGGGCGGGGGCGGGCCGAATATTGGAGTAATTGCAGCAGGCCGCTCCGGGCTGGATTTCTGGCTGTCTCTGTTTCTTTCTGCCTCTCCGTTTCGGCGTTCTTTAAAAAAAAAAAAACTCTACTTTTTAATCTCTCCTTCTGCTCTTTCTGTCTCTCTCCGGCTCTCTGGTTCTGTCTCTGTCTTGTCTTTTTTCTGGGTGTCTCAGTCTCTCTGTCTCTCCTTTTCCCTCCTAACCGACTTTTCTCTCCTCTCTTGTTCCTCTTCTCTCCCTTTTTTCCAAAAGTGGAGAGCGGAGGGGGCCCTCAGCTGGAGTTTCTCCAAAGCCCCCCACACACACACACACTCTACTGTGCTCCTGCCAGGCCTAAGTCTGAAGGCCACTCAAAGCTCCTTTAGGATGCCAGGCTCTGAGAATGGGCTCTGAGACATGTCTTTCCATGACCCAAAGTCCCCTTTGCAAAGTCCATCATAACAAGAGATGGCCCAGCCTTCTGCTTGAAGGCATCCAGTAATGGGGAGGCCATTCCATTCCCAGAGGTCACTGCCCTAAACACCCCCTCCCCCCACCTCAGAAAGGCCTTCCCTCACTAGTGGCCAGGAGCACTTTGCCCCCTCGGTAAGCCACTTATCATGGGCATTGTTCTGCATTCTACTTATCTGTCTTTGTGTCTTATCAGCTGCTGGACTGTGGGCATCGGGAAGGCAGCAAGCCCCTCTTGTCCAAGTTTCTCTCTGTCTGTCTGTCTCTCTCTCTCTCCTTCTCTGTCTCCCATCACAAAATATTTGCTGGATATGAGGATTTACTGAGCCGCAGAATATTAGAACTGACTGAAAACCCCAGTGATGGCCTGGTCTAAGTGTGTTGTTTCTGTCTGTCTGTCTTTCTGTCTCTGTCTCTCTCTGTCTCTCTCTTTGTCTCTCTCTGTCCTCCCTGAAGGTGGGACAGCTGATTATTGACTCTCAACCCTCAACCTCTGACCTCTGAGCCCAGAGGTCTCTCTTTCATGTTTTGGTTAACAATCATGTTAACCCTAGTAATTGCAGCACCAAGAGGGCAGGGAATGAGCAAATAGGCAAAGAGGAAACCTAATTAGCACTTTGGGTGGGGGTGGGGGAAAGATGGGAAAATTTTCTAAAGAATCCTATAAAGCCAACTACAAATGTCATTGAAACACTTCATTGCAGGGCTCTCCTGGTAGCTGAGCTCCAGTCTTGCATCTCCAGCTGCCTTCCAGACATCCTGAACTAGATCTCCAGTAGATATCTGAAACTCAAAACGTCTAACAGTAAACTAGTTCTCTCTCCTCCTAAACCTCCCCCACTCCTACCTTCCCTATTATTGCAGAGGGCACCATCATCCTCCCAGTCCCTCAGGCTCCCAATCTAGAAGTCACGTGGTACTCCTCACTCTTTCTCACACCACACCCCATACCCAATGTGGTGCCAAGGCGTCTCTCCAGTATACCCCTTCTCTCCTCTGACATGGCCCCCACCCTGGTACAGATTCCTCCTCATTCCTGGACTATTGCACTAGCTGCTGGGGGGGTGGGGAGGTCCTGCCTGTCTCTAGCCTCTCCTGGTTCCAATCTGTCCTCCAGCCAGCCAGCAAAGCAATTTTTCTAAAGGAAAGGTCTGATCATGTCATATACCACCCCTACTTCAATAATTCCAAAGGCTTCCTATCATCTCCAGAATTAAATGCAAAATGCTCTGCTTGGCATTCAAAGCCCTTCCTAACCTTACTCCTTGACAGGGACTCTCTCTTCCAGTGCCACTGGCCTCCTGGCTGTTTCACAAACAGAACATTCCATCTCTCAGCTCTGGGCATTCTCTTTTGCCTCCCTCGTGCCTGGAATGCTCTGCATCTTGCACTCTGATTACTGACCTCCCTAGCTTCCATGCAGTCCCAAAGGCCTCCTGCTATAGGAAGCCTTCCCCAGCCCCTTTTAATTGCAATGCCTTCCCTCTGTTATTTCCCATCCTGCACAGAGCTTACTTTGTCTATATTTGTTTGCATGTTGCCTCCCATAGACTATAAGATCCTGGAGGACAGGCACTGTCTTCTGCCTCTTTTTGTATCCCCAGTGCTTAGCATGAGGCCTGGCACATAGTAGGCCCTTTTTGTTGTTGTGCAGTCATGTTTCTGTCAGATTGGATTCTTTGTGACCCAATTCGGGGGTTTTCTTGGCAGAGATACTGGAAGGGTCCAGCTCCTTTGACAGATGAAGAAACTGAGGCAAACAGGGTGAAGTGACTTGCCCAGGGTCACATGGCTAGGGAGTGTCTGAGACCAGATCTGAACTTAAGAAGATGAGTCTTCCCGACTCCAGACCCAGTACTCTACCCACTGAGCTGGCTAGCTGGCCCGTAAGTTCTTAATAACAATTGATCACTTGACTGATCTGGGTCTGGGCTCAGCACCTGGCCAGCTGTTCTTTGGCCTTCAGGAAGACCACAGTGGGGTTGGAGCAGGAAGTGCTGTCAAGGTCATCACCACACCCTGATGCCATCACAGATCTGGTGAGGCTCTGGAGGAGATCCAGAGATAAGAAAAAGACTGTCCCTGCCCTCAGGAATCTTCCACTCGAAGCAGTGGCCAGCACTCCCTCCTTCTCTCCCCCTTGACACCTCCTCCACGAAGTCTTCCTGATTGTCCCAGGTTGTGATGCCCTCTCCCAGCCCTAGTGGTGTCGTCCTTGGTGCTCAGGGCTGGCCCCCTCCCCAGGAGAGTGTTAGATTCTGGCAGGCAGGGAAGCTTTCGTCTTTGTTGTTCCGGCCTCTAGCCAGCGCAGAGCCTGGCACACAGTAGGCATGTAATTAGTATTTGTTTCTCTGCCCTCACTCCATCGGAATCTGCATGCTGGAGTGAGATGGATGAGGGCCAGCCCTAGTGTGGAGGCTCAGAGTAAGCTTCCAGCCTCTGAAGACCTGAGGCAGGCCCAGCCTTTGTGGGAAGTGACTCAGGGCACCCCAAAGCCAGGGAATGAGCACCTTCGCTGTCAGAACCAAGAGATGCTCCAGAACCAGCTCATGCTCCAGAAGCCGTCTGGCCCACGCATGTAGCCACTGCGGTCGCTGATGAGTTACGTGCCCCTGAAAGCAGCTGCTGGACACCATCCTTGCTCCCCAGCAGCACAAAGATGGAAATTGGATGCCCTGAGCATTCACTAAGTCCCTCCTGTGTGCCAGGCCCGGACCTTCTGAGCTCCCAGGTAGCTACCATTTTAACCAGGTGAACAGATGCAAAGCCTATACAAAGTTGCTGTGCCCAGAGGCCCTGAATGTCAGAAAATGCTCATAGCTTGCGTGCTTGAGCAGAGCCTTTATTAAAGGATGCTAACCATGCTCAATCAAAGCAGCTTCAATGTATCGCTTTAAGGTTTGCAAAGAGCTTTCTATCTAAGAGGCAGAGGAGAGAAGGGGGGCCAGCCAGCCCATGCAAAGGCACGTGCCCAGGGTGTCAGGCTTAACAAACTGGCAATCACGGATCATGGGGGTGCTCCCCAGATTCCAAGCCTCCAGAGAAGGCCAGTTTTGGGCATAGCTGGAGGAAGGAAGAGGAGACTGATTCCCCCCCCCCCCGTTCCCAGAGGCCTGGCTCCTGAGGCTGGGCACCTGTTGGCAGTGGTCACCCTCCCTGCCTCTGCCTTCTCTGCCTCTCCCTCTTGAGGAGAAGTGACCAGGTGGCAGTCCTGTCCCCCAAAAGGCTGTTGATTCCCAGGCTGGAGGTAAGTGTGACCGGCCTCTTGGAGCCCACTGAGTCCCTCCCCCTGAAAAGGACCAATAAGATGGCCTGGTTTGGGGGGGGGGGCTGAACTCTTTGTGGAATGGAATTGGAGAAAGTGTGGGCAGAAAAAATGAAAAGAAGCCATGTAAGTGTCACTAAAAGCCATCTTGGGGTTCTTGTCATGTGATGATACCAATGGCCTTCCACTGAAGGGTGGATGAGTCCCAGGCCCAGAGAAGTATCGGAGGTGGATCTGACCCCGGCTCTCCCTGACTCCCAACCCAAACTCAGCGACGTTGACTTGCCCATAACAGAGCTCCTAGCTCTTGAGTGAGAAGGCACCTCAGAGGGCAGCCAACCCAACTCCCTCATTTTACAGGTGGGGAAACTGAGGCCCGGAAAGGCTGTGATTTGCCCCAGGTCACAGAGGGCGTAAGTGACAAAGGCAACGTTTGCAGCCTGACACCAGAATCAATCCTCTTCCCTGCTGACCCCAGCCTCTCACTATAGCAGCACCATCCTTATGACTCTCATCTGACCACAGCTTTAAGGCTTAGAAAAAGCCCTTTACTCATGACAAGCCTGAGTGGAAGGTGTTCAAGCATTGTGCCCCCTCTTTTACAGATGGGGGTGTGGGAACCCCACCATGTGACCTTGGGGGAAGGGAGGGAGGAAGCAAGCATAATTAAGCACCTACCAGCCACTAGGCTAAATATTTTTACACATATGACCTCAATTTGCACAATATTTTAGGTAAGTGTTATTATCGTCCCCATTTTACAGTTAAGGAAACTGAGGCAGACAGAAATTAAGTGACCTGACCAGGGTCATAGAGCTAGTGTCTAAAGCTGGATTTGAGCTCAGATCTTCCTGATTCCAGGCTCCCCACACTGTACACGTTATACCACTTGGCTGCCTCCAGGGCAAAGCACTTTTGTGTTCTGAGGCTCAGTTTCCTCACGTGTAAAATGAGAGTGTGGCCCAAATGGCCTCTAATGGTAGGGACCAGGCCTTTACTAAGCACCTACTATGTGCCAGGCACTGTGCCAAGTGATTCTGGGTTATCCACCTCTGGAGTTTGCCAGCTGTAAGAGATTGGGTCCCTGTCACGTTGTGTGCTCTGTTTGCACAGACTGAGTCCTCCTGTGGGTAGAGCTGGGTCTGCTTCCAGTCTAAAGGGAGGGGCTGAACCTAGTACAAAGAGAACCCATGTTCTT